CACATGGTAGATCCGGCACAGGCATGTTGTTAAATAAGAATCGAACACGTGGACGAACCACTAAATGACACGTGTAAGAGCCACGACAGGGCACGTGGGCCAATACAAATAAAATACGTGGTACAAATCCGTCCTACCACGTGGTCGACTCAGAAAAAGACACGTTGGTAGCTCAGGGCGCGACACGTGGCCCAATAAAATACTGACACGCGGACGTACAGAATCGAGACACGTGGTCGAGTAAAAGAAAGACACGCGGGGTATTATGGTCACACCACGTGGACCAAATAAAAATACAACACTTGGACCAATGAAGAAGTGACACGTGACCCAACCGCAACACGACACGTGTGCTAATAGAAAACTGACATGTGGTCCCGACACATGGTCGAATAAGAACCTGAAACGTGCAAGAACCAGAGATGGCCACATTGTGCAATAACAAGGTGACACGTACCCGAACCATCTCCAATGCAACTGGCTATATCATGTACACGTGGAAAGCATCTCCAACGGAAGCACCTGCCAGCGTGGCTGCCCCCTGCCAAGCATGCCAAAGCAATTCTATGACGATCAGTTTTTGTCACAGATCTATCCAATTCTATGACGAATTTCTAGAATCGTCATAGAATTGCAAGAATGACGCGATTTCTATGACGAACCGTTTTTTGTCATAAATTCATCATAAAACTGAAATTATGACAAATTTGGCTTCATCTATGATGAAAATTGTTCGTCATAGAAGTGGATATTTCTAGTAGTGTGAGACGCCACCTGCCGCAACCCTTCCCTCGCTACCACTGCCACCCCCGGCGCGCATAGGGCCGCTCTCCTTCTTCCTCTCTGGTGCATCTACCGGGGACAAGAAGGGGAGGGGACACATCTTTTTTCCCACTGTTGCATATCTAGATGCTTAGGGTTTAGTCCAAATGAATCTTTTGGCGAAATCAGATAGTTTTTTGTCAAGATGGTGTTTCCTGCGATGACTTCAGTGATTGCCACGACGAGATCGACGTTGCAGATATTGATTTCATCGGCAGACGACCAATTTGTGGCGTTTATCTGCAAGGGGAGGGGTGCTTCTGGGCACTCCCAACGAGGACAGGTACTCTGGGTCATTGATCTCTTCGTCGATGGTCGAGGAGAGGAAATCAAGGTTTAGAGGTGATGTATCCGCAGCCTATATTATACTCGACGATGCAACTGACGATATTTTTTCATCGATTCAGATGCGTTTTGGGCTGGTTCCGAAGCGTTGGATTTGCGTTATGTTCAATATTTAGGGGTTGGTCGTTGGATTCAGCATAAGGACTGCACTTTGGTTCTGGAGGAAGCTATTGGGAAAGAAGATAATGAAAGAATCTGAGTTGAATATTATGTATTTTTTATTTCAAATTATTGTCATGCATAATTTGTGGATGTACTATGCTGATTTTAATATAATCCCCTTTCCCTTCGGGAAAAAAAGGAAAAACACACCGAGAAAAAAGAAATGTAGTCAGTATCATGAAAGTCGAAGGGTAAAACATTAATTTAGCAAAAATGCGATCCTCTTTTGTGCATCTGATAGTAACTTTATACTGAAGCTAAGAATGATCACACAAGTAATTTCATTATGTAATATCTGACGTAAATACATATTTTTATTTTTTTGTTGGGCCGGGGCAGCATTACTTCAATATAAAAGGGGGGCCTTTATTGGGAAAATAGTAGTACAAACTTGACGCCCACGGTTGGCCCATCATCGTGCACCTTCCGGTCGGTTACATTGGGTAAATAAAACCTAAACAAATCTTTATAAACCTAAATTAGGGTACGTTTCAGAAAGCAGAGCCGTCCCATCGCACGCACGAACCCATTAGATGGGGAGGGGCGTCGCGGAGCCTCGTCGTGGCTCGATGTGTCTGTAAGGCGTGGCGCGACATCGTCGACTCCCGCGCGCTGCTGCTCCTGCATCTTCTGCCGCACTATGTGCGAGGAGCCTTCCTAAACTACGTCGACCACAAGCGGCCGTACCACCTAGGCCATCCCTGCCCGTCGTCGACGATCCCTAGAGTAGATGGCATGCTCAGCTTCTTGCCCAACGACCGCAGTGACTTGTGTGTTGGGGTTGAGTCCCACATCGTGTAATGATGGTGGGGGAGCACAACATATAAGGTGGGAGAACCCCCACCTATCAGGCTAGTCTTTTAGGTTGAGTAAGGCCCAAAGGCCTTATATGTTGTCAGCTTCGGTGGACCTGGGACATGTGGGAGTGTAGGCTCATAACGAGCCAGACCGGCTGTAAGCCAGCTCCAAGATTGAGAACTCGGTGGTCACCATCGGTTCTAACAATTGGTATCAAAGCCGTCCATGGTTAGAAAAGCTAAACCCGATAAAAAATCTCGAGCGCCACATATGGCGGGGGCACCCCGATGTGTGACTAAGGGGGTATGGCAGGGGCACCCTAATGTGTGACTAAGGAGGAGATTGTTGGGTTTTAGTCCCACATCGTGTAACGATGGTGTGGGAGCACAACATATAAGGCGGGAGAACCCCCACCTATCAGGCTAGTCTTTTAGGTTGAGTAAGGCCCAAAGGCCTTATATGTTGTCAGCTTCGGTGGACCTAGGACCTATGTGAGTGCAGGCTCATAACGAGCCGGGCCGACTGTAAGCCAGCTCCAAGATCAAGCCAGGCCGGCTATAAGCCAGCTCCAAGATCGAGGCAAGCCGGCTGTAAGCCAGCTCCAAGATCGAGAACTCAGTGGTTACCACCGGTTCTAGCATTGTGGTCGGTCATGGACCACTGCAACGGCCTCCTCCTCTACGACATCAAGCGGGAAAGTGAGCTCTGCGTGTGCAACCCGGCGACGTCTCGGTGAACGCTACTTCCTCGACCTCCAGGCGCAGATTTCAGATACCACCACTACACCGGTGCGTACATCGCGTTTGATCCGGCGGAATCTTCACACTTCCAAGTCGTCTTGGTCCCCGCCGTGCCGAAGGTGCCAACACCTAAGCACCGCCGGAAGAAGAAGAGGGAGTGGCGCGCACAGCTGTGGGAGGAAGAGGGTGATGCCCCGTTCTGTCTGGACTGGTTCTTTGCAATGGCAAACGACGGCGCAACGATCAGTGAGGAAGAGACAGAGGCGGAGAAGGTGCGGCATGCGCAACTGTGGGAGGAAGAGAGAGACGCCCCGTTCTGCCTGGACTGGTTCTTTGCAATGGCAGAAGACGGCGGCCCATCTATTGGTGAGGAAGAGGCAGAGGCGTACCACGACGAGGAGTTTCAGCAACTGCTATCGACCGTGGATGAGGACCTGGAACGTGATATCGACCCATGGCGCTTGATGGAATGGCCACCAACACCATGGACACTTAACGTGTTCTCGTCGAGGGCCGGCCATTGGGAGGAGAGGGCTTTTGTTCGTGAAAGCATGCCGGCAGGGACAGTCGAGAAAATGCGATTGGATCAAGAGGAACCTACGATTTATGGGCCACGTAGATGATACGCCATCTACCATCATGGATCGCTCTATGGCCCTGTTCGCTTGTCTTATAATCCGTACTTTTTAGCTTGTTTTTTTCAGCCGGAACAGTGTTTTTCTCTCACAACAAATCAGCCGGAACAATGTTTCGGCTTGTTTTTTCAGCGAAGCGAACGGGGCCTATGTGCACTGTCGAGGGTCCTTTGTAACAAGGTATGTATTTGTTTCTTTTTTTTCCTTATGCAATGATTGACAGGTTGTTTTAGTAGGCTAGTCTTAGTAGGAGTTTTATATCCCCGTTTCCAAAACTTACAGGTATAAACAGTGTAAACAAGTTTTATTCTCATGATGAAACTCATTTCATATCATAAAACTTTTTTCATCTCTTTCTTTATTTATACTATGGCACATCAATTTATTTAATGCTTATAAACTCCAATGAAACTTCCATTAATACTGACCGTATAGGTAATATTCGTGGAGTATTATGAAACTTTGTTGAACGTGTTTTTTTTTCCTTTTCACGTCGAGTTTATAAATGTTACAATACAATTATATACCTAGCTCGGTTGGGACGCCAGTGGTATTCTTACTTTGTTCTTTTTATAGCGTACGAGCAAACAAATCCATATACATGGTAATTGTACGGTTGAAATTGTACGGTGCTACGTGTGTTGCTCTAAATATTTATTTAATTAATATAATCATGTCATGAGTTACAATATCCAAATCCATGTGCTTGAACATATTGTTAACGTCGTCCTTACTCATATCAGCATGCGTGTGGGGGAAGGACCAAGCAAACGCCTTCACACTTCTCTAAATTGTATGAGCATGGGGGAGAGAAAACCACAGAAACACTCCACATTTTTTTAATATTATTAGGCTATAGGTATAGGTATATAATAGATATAGATATAGATATAGATATAAATATAGATATAGATATAGGTTGGTTTATTGTTGGCAGATAAGTCTAGTATGGCGGGAAAAGTTAAACAAACTAATAAACAATATATATTGAGAAGATACATATAATTCCTAATAACAAGGTAATAATAATGCGCGTACCACTCCCTTTTTATTATATCTTTTATAAGATTCCAATATAATAGAATAAAAAGATAAATTTCCCCATTTTTTATATGTAAGTTAGACCATATGTCCTTTTCATGTCTTTCATATGTTTCCATAACCACACCACCATACATTCGGTACCATACATTTAGTACCAAAATATTTTATGTTCACGTGCATTTTTATAATTAAATATTTTTAGTTATTTTATACTACTTAAATAGCTGTAGATGCATTTAATATGAGTACATCAAACAAATATCCATCGTGTAGTAATAGTAATTTTACCTTTTTACAGGCTTTCATTGTTAAATAGTGAGTATCAAATAATTGAAGCGCCAACCAAGTATGCAAAACCATATTTGGGGAAATTACAGAAGGATGTATGCTTTGGAATAGTTGATGATGATCATCGTCAACTAAAGATTTGGACCTCAATGAATCATGCGGACAGATGGAGTGGGTTCTGAAGTATGAAGTTGAGGTTGGGTACTATGCTCATTATGTAGCATCACTCCCTTATGATCACAATGCCAGGCAGCCAGATGGATCTTGGACTGTAGAAGAAGATAAGACTAGTATCCAGGAGAGTTGCGAGTGGGACTCTGACAATGATGATACATTCACTGTTAATCACCTTGAAGGCCAAGAATCACTCCCTTATGATCACAATGCTAGGCAGCCGGATGGATCTTGGACTGCAGAAGAAGATAAGACTAGTATCCAGGAGAGTTGCGAGTGGGACTCCGAAAATGATGATACATTCACTGTTAATCACCTTGAAGGCCAAGAATATTGTTACCAGGGTCTTGACATTATTGGGTTCATCCTTTCAAGAAAGTTGTATTTATGGCTCGGTGGTTTGGAGTGGTTGCCTATCATTTGAATGCCTCCAAGATTCAATACTTGGGCTTCTCGCGCCCAAAACGTTACTATGGTAACCATACAAATGGTATATATGAGTCATTCCTTTACACTCCATGGCCCGTTCGCTTGGAGGAATCTGGATGAATCTGAAGGAATTTGTGAGAGAAAAACACTATTCCGGATAAAAAAAGAAACAGATCAAGCCGGGTTTAAGGGCACGCGAACGGGCCCCATGTATGATTGGAGATCTGCTTCATGGTGATGAAACTAGACAGAGCTCCTCTGATGAAGATTAGTGGTTTAAGTGCAATGCGGACAGTTGAGCAAATGATCGAGCAATTATAACGGTGTGCTAATGCTTTCATCATAGGTCAATTATGTTCACCGTGAGTCTTATTCACCATATTGTATGCCCGTTTGTGTTTCACTAGTCAACATTTTCTTTGTTTATTTGGCTGTTCTATGTCCCATCATCGTTTTTATTATTTCAAGTATTTGCTGAACCTGAATCTGCAACTATGTAGTTGACATGATTTTTCTTTCAAATGTTCTCTACACACACCAGAACTATGGGTTATTTGGATTCACACCATTACAATTTTCGTTCTTCTGAGATGTACCATTACAATTCACCTATTTGAAAACTTATCATTACAATTGTTCCCATACCCGGTTCATGCCATTTTCTACTCTTGGAACAACACTGGACCCACTTGCATACTGCCATATTTTCGTATAGCCAAAAATACCCCTCTGACTACCCCTTCCCCCACTCAATGACATGTGGGCCCGCACGGTCATCCCCTTCCTCTCACCGGTCACCACTTCCCACCTACGCATCTTCATGCGCTTTAGCTGACCAAGGGCTCGATGGAGCAGCGGATTCGAGTTCCTCCCGGCCGCTTGCCCAAATCTGCCCACAACTGCGGCGGGCCGACATGTCCGCACGCTGAACAAGCTCCTCGACTGTCCTAGGAGAGCTCCGCCCACGCTGCTTCGAGCCGCCACGGTCACCGACGACAACGATGTTGTCGCCGCCGCCCATGTCCTCACCAGCGTGCAGCCCTTGGCCCTACCATGCTACCGCTGCTGGCCGGCCCGAAGCTCGTGGCGCACCTCCGTATCACCTGTCGTCTGTCGCAGGGCAGACTACGACGCGGCCACGACCACCGGCTCGCCCAAGCTGTGGCTACGCTCGCCAAGCCGAACCCGAGGCGCTGACGACAAGTGGAAGGGGGTCCGCCCCGATGTCGCGGACTTAGATGAAGGGAGAAGGCGGGGGACTCTGGGCGGACAGGGGCGCGCCGGTGGGCAAGGGCCATGTCCAACGAGGTGCAGATGGGGGCAGGGTGGGGCGGGCAAGGGAACGCTGATGGGCGAGGAGGAGCTCCACCCGCCATGGCGCGTGGGAGCTCTGCCAGCCATGGCCGCGCGAGAGCTCGAGGCGGAAGAGCTTCGGCCCTCCATGGCTGCGCAGGAGCTTGAGGTGGAAGAGCTCCGGCCCTCCATGGTCACACGGGAGCTCCTCCCCGCCATGGCCGAGGGGCACGACGGCGGCCGGCGCCCACTGGTCGCCATGGGAGTTGGGGAAGAAGCTGTCATGGAGAAGACATGGAAGGAAGGAGGAAGAAGATGACTAGTGGGGTCCACACGTAAGTGACATAGAGAGAGTAAGGTGGAAGGGGTAGTTTTGTCCATACGAAAATACAATGATGTTGTGTACGCCTGGAGCTGGGCCCAAGGCCTCTCCAGACGTATACCATGGCATATTTCAAACATACGAAGAATTGTAATGGTGAGGTTTAGAATAGGTGAATAGTAATGGTATTTCTCCAAACTTCGAAAATTGTAATGGTATCAATAAAAAAACCCAACTATATATGTTACCTTGCACTACGACAGGGAGGCAGGGCGGTTACCCAGCTTTTGCTGCAAATCAATGATTTATAGGAGCGGGGTGGTTGGCCAAATTGGTTTGTAGGGGTGGCTAAGTATTTGTAGGGGTGGCTGAAAAACGAGCCGCCCCGACAAATCTGTTTTTGAGGAATCACAAATCTGGGTAAAAAAAATAGCAATTTTTTAATCTGAGTCAAAAAATAGCAAAAGAAAAATCACAAATCCTACATTTTGGCAATGTTCACTTGCAGCCTTTCTGACGTTTTTGAAGAGTTTTAGCGTTATCTACAAGTCCCTTTCTTCATGGAAATCATCATACTTCTCTATTGAAAGTGTTTGGATAGTTCACAATGATCTAATCTTCAGAAATGAGTAGCGTATTCAGGATCGAGCTAAAGGTGTTTTCGTCAAAGAATTTGCCATGGCTATTCATAGAGCAAAGGCAAAATACTTCCCGTAGATAGGACTATATGGCTACAAGCTTTGCTGTAATTTTGCTCATTTTTTATTTCTTTTTTTTTTTTTTGCTCCTGTAACCTATGTCTTTTTCTTAATAAATTTTATCAGGAGGGACGTGCCCGCTCTTGTTCATCTAAAAAAATTGAGCCGAGAGCCATTTGTAAACCACTCAAAACTGCTCAAGGGTCAAAATTAAATAGTTTTATAGTTAAGGTGATAAAGTTAGACAAAGGCAAGAGTCGAGGGGTCAAAAATGGACTTAATAAAGTACTTTAGTTTCTTTTATATATTTACAAATTTTTTTATATATTTAATTTAATTTAATTTACTTATTGATAAATATTTATATATACTAAAATATTTTTCTACACTTTTATTGGATTTTTATATGTTATTATTTAGAAAAAACTATCGGTACATAAATCTACATGTTATTTTTTAAAATCAAGTAAATATCTGAATACAAATCCAAATTTGAGATATGTACTAACATTAAATTACCGGCATCAAATGGATTCATCAAAAATTCAGATGCCTTCATGATGAATTCTATGAGGAACTCTAAAATGGATAAAGAACAAGCATGAGAATCAATGACAATAAAACTAATAAAACATGCTATAAATTCAAAGGATTGTTAGTTACCCAGCTTAAACCAAGAAGATCTCGTTAATCCTTCAAAAACCAATCCCCTCCATGAATAATTTGGTGAAAATGGCAACAACAATGGAGAGAGATGGGGGAAAAAGACGCCCCCTTGATGGCTGTGCTCGGGTTGGACAGGAGGAGTGGTTTGGGATTTTCTGGGTCAAACAAAAAACTAACAGTGATATTGTCATGTCGATACTAGGCCAAACCACGACCTGGCATTTCAATACCACTGCTAGTTCTTGTCTTAAACCGGCAATATTATGTTACTACTGGTGTGTGGTTCGAGGTAACAGTGATGGTAGTTCATACTAGTATGTTGCAAGCTATGTATTGAAATGCCCGTTTAAGAATCAATATGGATATCTGTATCCTTATCCGATTTTTAATATGGGTGTTAAATGGATGTACTTGAATTCATTTTTATGATTCTCTTTATCCAATTCAGATCCGTATTCAATAATCATATGCATGTCTAAACTATTTAAAAGTTATCTGTATGGTTAACTATATTTATGGCTAATCATAAAGGCTAAGTTTAATTTATGATTAAATTCATTTTTGGCCCTTAAAGTCTTGCCAAAGTTAGACGGTTTTGTAGTTGGCATCAAAATTAGAAAAAAGGTAGATTTGAGGGACCAAAAATGGACTTAACCGTATAATTTAATGTTGACAATAACATGCAATGCACTATTAAATCATATCGAATTAAAATACAACTTTGATAGATTTTTTCCGTTGCAAAGCATGAAAATATTTGCTCATAAATATATCATAAGTTTAATTTTATAACTATCCTTGTGTTGGTAGAGTTAAATCAAGTTTTGTGATTTTATAATCTCAGTTTTGATCCAGGTTTTAATAAAAATAAGTTTTGTTTTTTAATCAAAATTATCTCAACAACTTGGTGGTGAAAAAGTCAATGGTTCAAAGGTCCATAATATTGTATTTATTATTTACTTTTAATGTTTATGAGAAAAAAAAACAATAAATCATAGGAGCAGAGAAAAAAAAAAACTAAGCCGGAACGCTCATTGGACCGAGTGGAGAAAAAAAGAAACAATGTCACAACTCACAACAAAAAAAAGAAACAGGGTCAGAAAAACATGATCGTCCAGGAAAAACAAATTGGATCACCTAGACACGTATGGAACGGAGCTGGACACCGAAACAGAAACAAAGTAGAAAACAATGTGGGTGTGGGAGGGGGTGGAACATGAAAAAATTCAATAAGGATGGTCCCATAAAATAATCATAGGCACCATCGTGGATTTGCGACACGTGTCTATGCGCATATATTCAATGTATAAGAAAATCATAGTTTTTTTTCTAACTATTCCTCCTAAATTAAAGCAATAGCCCCATGCGTTGGATGCATATGTATAGACATGTGTCATAAATCTACGGTGGATACGATGCTTAACGATAGCTCCATGAGAACTGTGCTCACTATTTTTTTTTCTAGAAACAGAAATGGAGGTGAAAAAGAATGCAGGCTCTTTAAGGTAGTGTTTGTTTTAGAGTTATGGACATGGACATCCCAACTGGGATATCCCTCCTAAGGGTGGTGTTTGGTTCAGACACAAGCATGGTCAAGGACATCCCACCAGGAAATATGCTCCTAAGATTCGAGGCGACCGTGCCCTTGAAAAACGAGCGAACGGGGACACCCCACCTGGGACAGCATCGCGCGCGTGTAGAAGGGCGAGGAAGAAGAAGAAGGCAGCAACAACCGATGGCGCGGGGCGGTGGGCGGCCTGCGACACTGACGGCCGCGTCCGACAGCGCGGGAAGGCCTGCAACCCTAACGGTCACGTCTGGCGGCGCGGGCCTGCATGAGACGACGACGGTGATGCGAGGGTCCGAGCACGGGCTCCGTCTTCGTGCTCACTAAGCACGAGCTATGGGACCAGAGGAGGAGGCGCGCGACCGGCCTTGTTGGGAAGGAGCCGCGGTGCCCGAGCCTTTGTTGTGCGGTGGATGGGGATGAAGAGGTAAAGGAGAGAGGAAGAAAAAGAAAAAACTGATAAATAGGCCCCACTTGTCAGTGGTTAATCCCACTTTTGATGTCTTTAGACAAAAAAATGGGCTGGTCCCATCCTTCCTCAACCAAATAGAAAATAGAGTCGTCCCATCCCATAAACCAGGAACCATCCCACTCCACCTTGTCTCTAGACCAAATGCTACCTAAAACAGAGTTGCTAGCGCCCGGACGTCCGATCCGGGCGCTTAGTGTCGGACGGTGCAAATTCCTGCTAAAACATTAATATGCGAATAAAAAATCCCACACCTCAACATGCTTATTTGTACACCCCGCCCACACGCCTAACACGCCTGCCCCGACACCTGATTCGCCTCCATCCCCGTCCATTTGCCCCATCCCCTAGGCGCACCCCACCCCCGTCGTGCCCCCGATCGCTGGCCCTCTACGCGCCACGTCCGCCGGCCACCGGCTCACCACACCCCATTCTCCAGCACCCCCTGACTCTCTGAACAGCATGAAACACGTGCAACATGAAATACTTGAATGCAACATACGTTTAAAACAGATGAAACATCTGGAACATACACTTGCAATATATGTGTGAAAACATATGCAACATCCAGGTAGAACACTTGCAACTTACAACATGAAAACACTTGCTGCAACAGAAGACTGAAACAGATAATTTTTTTGGAATACTGTTGCAATATATGTGTGAAAACATATGCGACATCCAGATCAAAACGCTTGCAACATATCTCTGGAAACAGATAAAACATTTTGAACAAATGCTTATAACATGCATCTAAAACATTTGCAACATATGCAACATGTGCAACATCCCTCGATCTTCTTTTACAACATGCATATGAAACAATCGCAACATACATCTGAAATGTCTGAAACACTTGAAACATACATATGCAACATAGGAGAGGAGAAGGCTGGGCCGGTCGATTCCGGTCGTCGGGGTCAGAGACGGCGGCTAGCAGCTATGTGCGAGCACCACCACCACCCAACGCCACCAGTACCGGGCTTGGCTCGACGACGACGGTGGGGGTGGGGGCGAGGAGTGCCATGGCCGCCGGGGTGGGGGGAGGTCGGTGGCCGGGGTGAGAGAGGGCGTCGCCGGGGGTGGGGAGAGCGTCGTGCCGGGGTGGGGGAGAGCCGCCCACTACCCTGCAATACCGCCGCACCACCTACATGGATCTCGCTCGTGCTTCATGGATCTTACCAGGGTGGGGGAGAGGGCCACTAGATCTACGGCATTAGGGGCTCTCGGTGGGTGAGGACACCGGGATAGGGAGGGGCGCGCTGGGGTGGGCAAGCGAGAGAGAGAGCGGAGCATCAGGGAAGCACGAGAGAGGAGCTCGTTGGGCGGGCGACGCATGCGAAGCGAGGCGAGGCAGCTACGAGTTGATTTTGTTTATTTATTTATTTATTTATTAGACGAGCGGCGCGTGCGGCAGTGAGGTAGAGCTGTGCATGCGACGCCACCAGTTCGGAGGGGAGTCGCTGCGTCGGGTGTACTGTTTGTTTGTAGTGTAACGGTACCTAAAAACAGCAGCCGTAACCTTGACCACCCATCCGATCCAAGCGGCATCACCGTGGGGCGGCCCACTTGGGCGCAACAACTTGCCGCTGCGTTCTTTGGGCTTTCGCTTCCCTTTTGTCCGTCGCTCCGGCCTCCTCGGTGCCAATTGTGGACGCCGAGACGGAACCCGCATCGGCCATTCACCTCCGTCAACCCACCCTCGCGCCCAGCCCACTGCGCCTGCGCTCACTGCCACAGGGCCCCATCTCCCCGCCTACGCCAACCGGCCCACGCTGCGTCCCATGGACCCGGCCCACCCACTGCCCCGCCCCCAAGTTGACAGAATCATTTCCCATCGGCGCTACAAATCGCTCGCCTACACGATCCCTTGTCTACCCCCTCCCACGGCAGCCGCGGGCCCGCTCGAGATGGCCCCGCGTGTCGGGGAGGGTAGACGCTCGTGTGCGGAGTGAGCGCGGCGGTTCACCACGCGAAAGGCCGCCTCCAGTTCTCCTCCCCCTCGCCTCACATCTCATCCCCCGTCTCGCTCGACGGCTCGACCTCTGTTGGAGGCAGGTGGGCAGGCCAAGCCAGGCCAGGCGAGGGGGTTCGGTTCACGAGCTCTTCCTCTTTCTCGACACCGCCGATCCCGCCACGCGCCGCCCGCAGCGGAGGTGAGGCCAGCCCTCTCCCGGCATCGGTTTAGTCCCAGCTGATTCGACCTCTCTTTCGTCTGTGCGCTCGGTTAGGGTCATGATTCGATCCTGTTTCGCTTGGGTTCCTTGTGGTTCGATTGGTGCGGAAGACAAATTCCGTTTCGCTTAGGTTCAGATTGGTGGATGGACTCGTACGAAGTGCGAAATTTATCCTAGATACATGTCAGCTAGGCTCGTGGGCGAGTGGAATTTATTATCCCAGGTAGGTATGTTAGCTAGGGGGCCGTTCGGCTGGCTGGTTGCCAGCCAGCTGGCTGGTTTTATCTCTCATGAAATCACTATTCACGTCCTGCCAGAACAGTATTTTTCTCTCACAACAATCAGCCGGAACAGTATTTTTCAGTCCTGCCGAACAGGCCCAGACTCGTTGGCGAGTGGAATTTATTATCCCAGGTGGTTTGGTGTTGCTTTGGCTAGCGATTTATCTGTTGATTTCTTATATCTAATGTTTTTAATAAGATCGTTTGTCTAGGGACAATTTACACGGAGTGCGTTTAATCCTGATAATAGAGACACTTACATGCTAGTTGTAGTGCCATGATCAGAGAATCAAAATTGTTGTCGAGTTAACAGCTTATTTCACCATGTAAAAAGTCTGGCTCTGTTGCCATGTTCTTCCTGCCACCGTGGAAGGACCTTGAACTGCTGTCTTTCTGCAGCTGAGATCGATTCAGACTGTGTGATGTGTTTACTCATTTTTATTCGATAGGCCTGTTGCCCAAATGGCCCTGTAGACCAATTAAAATCGGCTATGTAGTCTGACTCATTGGTTAAGCAAAGGCTGACTTCTGGTTTAGTGTGTACTTTCTACGAAAACACTTCATAGTTGGATTAATGAAATTGGATTCATCTGTTTCTTGGCAAGTGTGTATCAATTCAATTTATGTTGTCAGATTTCTCGTTGTGACAAACGTGAATGCCTTTTCTCTAATTGCAGACACAATAATCCTAGTCAAGATAGAAAGGGCATTGGACACTGGAGGAACATTTTGTTGGTGGTAACTGAGGTTTGTGCTTGTTTGTAGATGGAGAGATTAAGCACCAACCAGCTCTACAAATCTGGAGTTCCTGTAACCATACCAACATCTCTGCCTTCTATACCAGCCTCTCTGGATGAGAGCTTCCCGAGGCTTCCAGATGCACAGATTGTTTTGATGGAGAGAGAATTGAGGAGCACTCCACTACCACCTCACCAGACCACTATTGCTCCTATCCGTGGTCAGTTTCACTCCAATACTGGATCTGTTGGACCTCTGTGCTCACCTCCATCTGTAAGGTTCTCTTCACTTTCAAATCCTGATCAATACTCGAACCACAATCCATACAATTCTCAAGCACCAAGCACTGCAACTTCTTCAACGCTGAATTATGGGTCACAATATGGAGGCTTTGAACCTTCCATAACCGATTTCCCAAGAGACGTTGAACCAACCTGGTGCCCTGATCCAGTTGAGAGCATTCTTGGATACTCTGGTGATGTCCCTGCTGGGAATAATGTGACCGGGACCACTTCTATTGGCGCTTCAGATGATCTTACTAAGCAAACTGAATGGTGGACAGAGTTTATGAATGAGGATTGGAAGGACATGGTTGATATCCCAACTACCACAGAAACTCAACAGGTACGCTAGTTAATTCTGTCATTTTGGTGGGTGGACTTTTTGTACTCCTGTTTGTGCTAGTATTCCCTAACTGTACGGTTGAACCATTCTGTGTCCTTGTCAGCTAGTTGATGACGAATCCACAAATCTGTGATCATATTGTTGATGCCCTACAGGCTACAAGTCCCATTTTTTTCCAAAACAAATGTTTTGTAAGCTTATTTTATGTTATATCTTGTTTATATCTATATTATACATCAAATCTACTCCTGGATATCTTAAAAAGTTCAAATTTTCACTGTTCATTACACATCCAGGATAGTGGTGACCACTGTATGTTGTATACTTCACATCATACATCTCATTCTTTTTCGAAGTGACCTGTGGGTCAAAAAGTTTCTGCCTTTTTTACTACTCCCTCCGTTCCAAATTATAGATTGTTTTGGCTTTTCTAGTAGATACACAACTTTTATTATGTATCTAGACATATCTTATATCTAGGTGCATAGCAAAAGCTAGTACCTAGAAAAGCCAAAACGACCTATAATTTGGGACAGAGGGTGGTACTTTACTAGACCAAGACTAAAATTTTTCCACTTTGGATCCTCAGACCCAGCTGTTGTTTGACGTATAGACTGTATTCTAACTCTAGACTATGCCAGTATGCATTGCAAGATGAAAGGATGTGTCAGGAGCTACCTGATATTTTTCTTCATTGCAATAAATGAGCATGATGACTAAGCTGCGTGTAGGGTGTTCGGTGTTGCCTCAAGTGACTCACAGTCAGATTTGACTTGGCTCACGATGCACAATCGGCTTTAGCTTGACTTCTGTAGTCTGTACAAGTTCACATGTAGGAGTTTCACATGAGGAAAGATTTAGCAGGGTCCAGGAGGTTTGCTGTGTTTGCAAATGGCAAGACCAAATACCGCAAAGTTGCTTGCTCTTAGTTGCCTTGGGGATCATTTTTAATGAAGCAACATATATAATTTAGGAACTTGCCAAATCACTTGTTTGAGTTCAGCAATTTTATGAAATGGGTTTTGAAGTTGAAAATCAGGCATGCATTTGCTCATCTTTTGCAACATTCAATTTCAGCTATGGTAGTAATCAATCTTGTATTGGCTAGGTCACTTTTCTTTGTTATAACTTTTACTGCACTGTACTCTTTGTTTATAGTCTTTATGCATTAATTTATGCTTCACATAGGTTGGGCAACCTGTGCAACCATCCATCTCAGTTCACCAATCAGCAACCCAACAAACAGTTTCGTCTCAATCTGTGGAACCGTTGGCAGTTGTGGCACCCTCACCCACTACTGGCTCCAATACTGCCAAGGCACGCATGAGATGGACTCCTGAGCTTCACGAGCGCTTTGTGGATGCTGTCAATCAACTTGGTGGCAGTGAAAGTGCGTACTGTTTGCAGATATATTTCTCTCATGATTGAATATATTCATTTTGACATTTTCCTTAAATTGTTTCAGAAGCAACTCCTAAGGGTGTCCTGAAGCTAATGAAGGCAGACAATTTGACCATTTATCATGTAAAAAGTCATCTTCAGGTCTGATATCTAGCCCTATAGTTGGATGTTATTGAAAATAGTTGCAAATTATTCTCTATCTGAATTTTATTGAACACTGTTTCAGAAATACAGAACAGCTCGATACAGACCAGAGTTATCTGAAGGTCTGGCATGTTCCACTTCCTATATGTTCTGTTTCTTTGTATTCATTGCTGCAATTTCTTCAGTTGTTTTATTAACTTTGGTGATTTGATATTTTCAGGCTCTTCTGAAAAGAAAGTGGCATCTAAAGAAGATATACCATCTATTGACTTGAAAGGGTAAGTCTGCACATAGGATTTTGTTTGTGTTGATGTTTTGATTTCAATATACAATGTAAAAGTGTTCGAGAAAAAAATATACAATGAGAAAGCAGGATATAGCTTTCATTTCCAATATTATGAGAGAGCCAAGCAATAGCTTGGTTGGTAGAGCCTCCAGTTGAGAGTCCATTCACCTGGGCTCAAACCTGGGTGCTTGCAGGTCGCGTGACACAAAGCCAGGGTGTTGTCTTCTCCTTGTGGTCGAGTTTTTGATCATCAAGTTTTTGCATGAAATGCCTGATCTGGAAATTTGTTTACAGTAGATACTATTATGATCATATTTTCAGCAAAAAACATGAATGATGGCGTAATTTTTTTTTTGTTGTTTGCAAGAATAGAAGCGTAATAAATTCACCAATCAATTATCAAACAGATATGACAGTTTATTTGTGCATCAATCTGGTTAAACACAACTATTTTCGACGCTTCTTTTTTTTTACTGAATGTGCCGTCACAGCATAGATTCATGGATTCAGCATTGCCTACGTATTTTGATGAATTTCAGATTCCATCTCCTTCGTGAGTAGTTTTATATCCAGTTTCAAATATTTTTTCCTTTTAACAGTGTTTTATTAGTTTTATTACTTTTTAATCAAGGAACAGCTTGCCATGTTAGCCAAACTGTATGGGTATCCACAAATTACTTTGTTATGTGGTCCTGAACTTTGGTTCTTTTGTTGCACCACAAGAGTTGCATCTGAACAAATGCAGTTACTTTAGTCTTTGTTTTAAGTGCCTGGTTTCAGAGCATCATTTTTATACTGCTGCAGGAGTTTTGATCTCACTGAAGCACTTCGGCTCCAGTTGGAACTTCAAAAGAGGCTTCATGAACAGCTTGAGGTACTATTACACTTTGCTCTGCTTTTGATTCGATGTCTGAAATTGCAAGGGTCTAAAATCAGTATAACTTAGAGGTGTTGGTAAAATATTTTATTTTACCATATTTTCCTTTGCATCTTGAGCTTGTAACTCCAGGAGATTTTGAATTTTATTTTTATATGCGACACTGTTTTCCTTTGCATCTTGTGCTACAGGTTCAATTTGCATTATTTTGGAGCTTGTATTTTTATTTGTAATGTGATCTCCAAATAAAATAATTGCCCATTTAGTATATTAGTACGGTCAATTCTTAAGAGTGTATGTACTAAGATATTATAGTGACTCTTACCTCTATCAGAGTATGTTGACTATAATGATAGTTGCTTCATTGGTTGATGAACCGTAAGCACTACAGCCAATATGCTTCATATTTTTGTTGTTTAAAAAATATGCTAGGTTTACCAAAACTGGTTTATAGAGCCCCTGCTGCTAACCACTTCAGATTCAAATTTGAGCTAGCCAACAATCTGAACCGTAAATGTTTGTTCCCGAAAATTGCCTGGTAACCTTGTCTGCAGCATACTGTATCTTACTGAAGTTCATCATTATGGCTGTTCCATGGAATTCAGATACAAAGAAGTTTGCAGTTAAGAATTGAGGAACAAGGGAAGTGTCTTCAGATGATGCTAGAGCAGAGGTGCATACCGGGGACAGAAAAGGTGCAGAATGCTAAAACCACTTCCGATTCTGAGATTCCAGAATCTTCTACAGTCAAGGATGTCCCAGAAAACAGTCAAAATGGACCAACCAAGCAAACAGGTATGCATATCTATATAACTATGAAAGGCTTTAGCTTGTGGTGATGCCGGTTGTGATATGATGAGTCACACAGATCACTGATGTTTCTTGCCTTTTGTTTCAGAATCAGCTGACAGCCAATGAAGTTGCAAGCATGAAATGGGTTTCATGATCTGATTGGTTGTTTTCAGGCTTAGTTGTTTTTGTCCTTTCGTGGGAACAGATGAATGCTATTGTTAACTTCTTTGCAAAGCCTGGCCAGGTGCATGTAACTAGGAGTTAGTTGTATAGTACCCACCATCACGGTATCACTGAATCCCCGTGTTATGTGGATGATGTGGTCTTCAGAAGACAGCGCAAGCACAATGTCAGGGGTTTGACTTGTTTTTTTCTTCTTCTTCCTTTTGTTAGGTATCAAGTAGCATCTGGTAGGCATTTGATTATGGGTTAATTCAAGTATTTACAATAATGTTTAGCACCTGTTTAGAACATGTCATGGTACCAAATATGATGAAGGATGTGTTGCCTTTATACGAGAGAATGAGAGATTTGAACTGCTTCGGTTCGGTCTCAGATCCATACCATCTCTCTTCGTCAGAGAATTTTGTTTTACCTTATGAAACAGGAACGTTACGATGAACTGTGCAATGGCCGCAATGAGATGAGCAGCAGATACACGCGATGGGGCCAAGCACTTCACCCAACCAAACCCAGAATTCAAACTAGCTAGAACTTTTTTTTTAGACTGAAAGAAAAAATATATTAAAATATAGCTGAGTATATCATCATGTTACAAAATATAACATATATACCTAGAAACTGTTTTTCATCTTAAATGTACCCTCGCTTTGTATAGCTCCAAATCTCGATCACAAACCTGTACGACGATTTTTATGGAGGACCACGTAGACAAATACTTAGCAAAAGGCCTGAGAATACAATAAACGACGACAAACATTCCTGCACGCGGAGTTAAGAAACTTCTTTCTTGTGTCTTCCTTCTTCTTCCTTTTGCCCTTGAAGAAAAAAGGAAAATTGATCTGAATCTTCCCAACTCAATACCAGTAATTGGCTTGAGGGGCAGACTTATTCTCCTAGTCCTTCATCGAGGTCAGATCAAACCACAACAAAGCGGAGGCATGGCGGTAGCATCATCTCCGCCTTGATATCGCCGTTCAGATCATCATGCCGAGGAAGTTGTCGACGCCGTTGTTGCCCTCATCTTCATCAGAGTCATCATGGAGAATACAAATTCACCCTACCCCTCGCCGTCGCCGGGGAAGAGAAGGAGATAAACCCCCAATACCAATGAACTTAGCATGAAGAGACCTTAACACTAAAAAACGTGATTTGCTAGAAAAAACTTATTAGAGATATGGATCTCCACTCTCTCGGCTCTTCGGCTAGATGCTGGAGGGCGAAGAGAGAGGACCAGAGGTGGTGGAAGCGGGCGGCGGCAGCTGCGGCCTCGGCTGACCCTAGGGCATAGACGAGAGGGAGGTGAAAGACGAGAGTCCTTATAAACTAGCTAGAACGCGTTGCTCAATTACATACTGGCCTAGAGTGCAATGAGCGAGCGAAAGAAAAATCTTGAAAGTAACAATGCTTTCTGTAGGTTTAGCGATGAAAAAAATTGCTTCTAGTTTTAACATCTTTCTCTGAAAAAAAAAAACAGATACGATATTTCTAGAAATGAATACGGCAATGAAATAGTTGGATACCTGGCCAACCTGGGGCCAAAACCTGGACACCAAACTGTAGCAGAACACCATACATATGGTCGGTTTAGACGGCCTCTAGCCGTGGCACTACAGCAGAGCCGGTGGAGGAAAAAAAAAACGCTTTCTTTCCTTTCCTACTAGTTGTTTCCTTAGGTCCCGTCTCCTGCTCTTGGTGGTTATTATCATGACTAGTAGAAGGTTAAAAAAAACACAGGGTACCATGAACCTTGTACTCATCGTTGGCAATTGTGAAAGTAAGAAAAAAAAGACCTCGGTTCTTACCATTCAATAATTCATTTAAAATTTCACAATTAAATCATCTACCAAGGCCTCATATCATAATACATAAATTATCTTCGCTATGAACAATTTACACAAAATACATACACATTCAGTTTGAATATGAAAGTGTGTATACTTGAAAGTTGGTAGTCACTCACAAGATCCATGTACTCCACTCATCATTTGGTCATTTGTCTCAAATTCATCACGAAAATAAAAAAGCTAACATACATAACTAGAGCATTATCAATAGTGAAATTGATGCACTATCTAATTCTTATTCTGAAATGTTGGATCATGTGGCATGTCCAATGTTTTGGGATTGATCGTTGAATTTGGTATAAGGACTGCACTTTGGCTTCGACATTCGAGGGAAGCCATTGGAGAAGAGGACGATGAAATAATCTGTATAGAATATTATGTATTTTTTATTTCAGTTTTTTTCATTGTAATTTGAGGATGTACTGTGCCAAGATTTAATATAAGTCTCCATTCCCTTTGAAAAAATTGTTTATGTATCAAACATATACAATTTCATGCAGTAAGAATCATTATGAAACATAACTAACTAATCAAACAAAAACTAGATCATTATGAAACAACGTGATAATTCATCATCAACAAGAGTAAACTTTAAAAAGTTCGACTTATAATAACTTAGCCTCCCTTTTGAAAGAATGCAGGATTTGTTTTCCATTTGTTCTGTGTTTCTCATGTAAAAAAGAACTAATTCCTATAAAATACCTATACAATTCCTTTGTTTCAAAAAAGCTCTTAAAGTTGATTAGTTCAGGTACATACTCCCTCTGTCATTTTTAGGTGTCGTCTAAATTTTCGTGGCAGTCAAACTATCTCTAAATAAGTGTATTTTATAAATATACATATAATGACTAATGTCATGATACTTATTACGCATTACATATGTTAATAATCTTTTAAGTATTTGGTGAAAATTACAGTATGTTTAACTTCTCGGTGTACGAGAATGACAGTTGCAAAGGGACGCACGGAGTAGGACCGGGGGAGTACCACGTGGACACTGGTGCCGTAGGTGTCTCTGCGTTCCTTCTGCCGCGTTTAGGGCAGTCTCAGTGCCCAGTCTTGCACTTGCACCTATCGCACAGCCAGGCACGAAGCCAGCGGTGGGGCTAGGGGGCTCTAGCCTCTCCTACTCATCCTGCGCATGTTGAGCCCTCTTAAGTCATTTCTTAAAATTTTATGCATATATATATTAGGTAGGAGGGGCTAAGATTAAGAGAAGATAAAAAAGCCTCTATTCTTTTGTTTCAGCCCCTCCTAAATTTTTTTCTGGCTTCGTCACTGCGCACAACGACACAAAGCTAGAGTTACAGAAGCAATCTACTCCTGGAGTCCGATCAGTCGTCGTGTCCTATCCCGTTCTGAACTACTCGGATTCCGACTCCACAGCGGCCTATAATAATGAACCACTTGCCAGTCGCCACCAGCCCACCACGAGTCCACGACAACAAACACCGCTCCTGCAGCAGCAGTATCGATCTCTCGTTCGCATCGCAGGCCGCCACAGCACGGCGGCCATGGGCATGGGCTCAGCTTCAGCGTCGTCTACCGCTAAACGCTTCTCCTCTCGTAGCGTAGCCATTGCGTCGGTGGCGGCACTGCTCGTCGTTGCCGGCGGAACAATCGCGGCACTTGATCACAAGGACGGCACGTCGTTATTAGCACATACGGGGCGTCTTTGGAAGCCATCAGTCAACGAGGCCGCTCCCGCGCAAAATACTTCGTATCGAGGCTGTTCAGAACTGACGAAAGAAGCCACCAGCAGGCACCACGGCACACACAGGCAGTGCCGATCCTGAATTTTAAGGGCCCTCCGGCGATTTTATCGCAACGGCCCTCTTGACCATGTATAAAATCTTATAATATATAGGTGCTAATTTTACTTATAAAACAAAAACAAATTCAATAACATATTTTTAATTTAACATGTCTGATAATTATCGAGGAAACAATATAGATTAAGCAATATATTTATAGATGTATGATAATTATCGAGGAACAATGTAGATTAAAAAAACAATATATTCGTTTTCTTTTCTCACCCATGACAAATGTTTCTTAAATAACATTCTAAAATTCTAACACCTAAATTAGAAGAAAAATATGACTATATGAGTATAAAGTACTAGAAGTCTGAAATACTATACAAATAATTAATTTGGATTAAAAATAAAAAGGAAAAAAATACCTTGGGTCTAAACAACTGATCGGTGATCGCAATTCGTAAGAAGCCAAGAATCAAGATGTCATCGTCGTGGAGCCCTGCCTAGTCGCCGTCCTCGTGCGCCGTGTCCGTGTCTTCGGTAGTCTAGCTCTTCGCGGCGACGCAGCTCGCCAGCTCCGCGTGTGTAAGGCGTACGTCGCGAACTCACGATCAGAGTGTGCTGTGTGCAGCGTGACTCGTCGCATCCTCTCTATCCGAGGGCCGTGGGGAAATGAAACTAGGAAAGAAATATCGATGTTGTTTTTTTGGGCCGTCTGGCCAGTTCTATGTCTCTTTTCTCATTAGTTTGTTAATGCCTAATGAACTATAGGACCTGAGAGTTTATATACCTAGGCTTGGGCCGCTCCTTCGCTTGGGCCCTCGGCCGTCGCACCTCGTGGCCTACCCCTAGGGCCGGCACAACACATAGGCGCCGCCCGACCGGCACCAGCAGCGAGCCGCTGCCGAGAAGGCGTCGTCCATGACACCACGAACCTGGAGATGGAGCCGTCGTTGGCCGGGGACCCCGAACGACGACAACGGAAGCCGCCAAAGTCAAGAGCCCATCGCGCTTTCAACCGGATCAAGAACAAGGCGGTTGTGGACAAGCTCGTGTCCAAGTTCCCCGCGCCGACTTTCACCGTGATGTTGTTCCACTACGACGGCACGGTGGAGCAATGGGGCGACCTGGAGTGGTCGGACCGGGCCGTGCACGTGGCGGTGCGGGGGCGTACCAAGTGGTGGTTCGCCAAGCGGTTCCTGCACCCGGACGTGGTGGCGGAGAACGACTACGCCTTCGTGTGGGACGAGGACATCGAGGTCGACGCCTTCAACCCCATTAGGTACCTCGGCGTCGTGCGGAGGGAGGGCCTCGAGGTGTCGCAGCCGGCGCGCCGACGCGCCCCGAGATCCACCACGCCATCACGGCACGCTACCATTGTTGTTGACGGCAGACGGCGTGCACCGGCAGGCGTCGCGAACGCCTGGCTGTGGACGGTGGTGACACAGACCGGGCGCCATGTGAGGGGTGGGTGGAGGTGATGGTGCCGTGTTCTCGCCATGCGCGTGGCGGTGCGCGTGAGGGATGGTGCGATAAGCAAGCTAGCGTCCGCTCATCGGATCATAACTCCCTGCCGATACTTTTCCCGCCCACACCGTAACTGCCCACCTTAACCTGCGCCGGCAAAGCAGCAGGATAGGGCGTGGGCGCTGACAGATGACAGGCTGTCCCATTGCGTGGGGCCTACTCACCTACCATGCAAATTACTTTTAATGAATTAAAAAAAGTCATCACTCCTAAAGTAAATATCAAAATTAAATTCCAATTACACCATCAGATTTCTCACAATAAATCCTTCAAAACATGATCCCACATAGATATATTTGATAACATTTTATTAGCGAATATTTATCTTATAAAGATAGAACATTTTCTTTTATTGAGCAGAGACAATGTTCTAGGTTCAGAGAATAATGTTCCGTCTTCATAAGAAAAATATTCTCAGTTTAGAAGAATAGTGTTTTAGTTTTAGATTCATGAAATTAGTACTATAATATACACAAAAATAAATAAATAAATATATAATGTAAATTTAAATAATAAAATCTAGAGTAAAGCATAAGAAAAAAAATAAAAACATGTAACAAAGAAAAATTAAAAGAACATCACATGAATACTTTTTAAACATCCTAAAATATACTATAGAACATCATATGTGTAGTAAGTGAACATTATTAAATACACCACAGAAAATCACTAAATACATTATAGAACATCGCATATATATTACGTGAACATCACTAAATATATCATAGAACACCACATGTGTACTAAGTGGACATCACTAAAAACATCATAGAACATCACTGAATACATTATAGAACATCGCATATATATTACGTGAACATCACTAAATACACCAAAGAACATTACTAACTACATTATAGAACATCGCATATACATTATGTGAACACCACTAAATACATCGTAGAACATCACATTATACTGTGTGAACATCACAAAATATACCATAAAACTTTACATGTATTCTACGAGAACATCACATATATATTACACGAACATCGCAAAATATATCATGGAACATTACATGTATACCACGTGGACTTAAAAAAATATCACAGAACATCACATGTACAAGACGTGAACATAGAAAAAATAGAACATCACTACATGAACATAAAAAAAACAACATAGAACGTCATAAAAAATAATATGAAAAGAAAAGAAAAGAAAAAAAAAGAAAGATAAAAAATATAAAAAATTATAAAAAATGAAAATAATAATAAACACATAAAAAGAAAAAAGAAAATAAAAAATGAATGATGCACAAAAAGGAAAAAAAAGAAAAAAGAAAAGAAAAAAAATTAAGAAAAAAACATGAATCAAAGAAAAACAAAATAAAATAAATAAAAAAGAAATCAAAAGAAAAAAGAAAAAATGATAAAAATAGAACATCACATGTACAACACGCGAACATAAAAAAATAATAAATAAAAATAAAAAAAGAAAAGATATAAAAATAAAAAGAAACATAAAATATAAAAAATTAAAAGAATAATAAAAAACATAAAACATAAAAGGAAAAAAAATGAAGCACGAAAAGGAAACATAAAAAAGAAAAGGAGTGAAGAAGAAAAAAAAGAAAAAGAAAAGAAAAGAAAAAGAAATGAAGAGATACTAACGTACCTGCTTCCAGACTAATAACGTACTGTACCTGCTTCGGTAGTTCCGTATCCTGCGGCTTTCCCGGGCGCGGACGTGCGCTCCTGCACGCCGCGGTTTCCCACGCGCTATTCGGCGGACGGCTCCGGTCCGACCGTTCGGACCGGATGCTTTCCGGGTGCAGAACGACCTCATCCACGGCTGGGGGCTCGACTACAGGCTAGGATACTGCGCGCAGGGTGACCGTGCTCTCAATGTTGGCGTAGTCGACAGCGAGTACGTGCTCCACCGCGGCGTCCCCATACTCAGTGACGGCGGCACGGCGACGCCGTCGGCGGTGAGGTTGTGATCATTCAAGGAGATGCAGGAATTCAACAGGAGATGGGAGGTGGCTGCTGCCGAGGACGATTCCTGGACCGATCCATATACGTAAGGCAGCAGAGCCTCGGACGGCCAAGTGAAGTCATCAAGATGACCGGGGCGCGCACGCTTCAACAGCAATATATGTTGGAGCTACAGCATATGTTGAAGACAGACGCATGTAGTTTCACTGCTTTTGTCTGGTAGAACTATGCATGCATTCTGCGGGAAAAAAATTCTCTGCACCACCGCCGCACAGGGTGCCGCGTGCATCACGGCGCGGATGATCGACACGTGTCCGAAACTCCAATCCAAAAACACTTGATGCAGGCATGCGGCTCCGCTTGGTGGTTGGACTCGGCTCTCCTCGGTTTGACGCAGTCGCAAGGGACACGATCTGTGCATGGGAAAGCGCGTGGTCCCACATATCGATCATCCACGCCGTGCTGCACGCGGCACCCTGTGCGGCGGTGGTGCAGAGATTTTTTTTCCCAAGATGAGGGCCTCGAGGTGTAGCAGCCAGCGCTAGACCGCCGCTCAGAGATCCACCACACCATCATGGCGCGCCAACAATGGATGTAATAGATGGACGATAGAAGACCGAAGATAATAGAAGAAACCATTTAGAGAACGATTGGAATGTAGGAAAAATTTCCTGTTTCTACATTTTTCTTATAAAATTGAACAAATTCTTGTGAAGTTTCTACAAGACTCCTATAAAATTTCCGTGTTCCAAACATGTCTTCATTGAGATTATAATTATCTTGTGGAGTGGCTATATAACTTGGTAATGGCACTCCTAAGTAGTTTTTAAAGAGCAATAAATTCTAGCGTAGACCTAACCCTCCCAACATATATAGGGCCTGTTCGGCTGGTATTAAAGCCGGCTGAAGCTGTTTTGTTATGAGAGAAAAATACTGTAGATTCTAGCTGAGTTTTTTATAGCAGTTTTTATGAAGAATAATGCATGTATTAGAAATGGAGAACAATCAATTGTGGCAAGAATCCATGTAGAAATCCATGTTGCCACATCTCAATCATGTTGACAGCTGCTCCAAGCACGTTAAAAACTAAGAACTTCGACGCTTTGAAGACGACGTGTCGCCGACGATGTTGACGTAGGACTTCAATGTAAACATCCCGGCGGTGGTGCACTGAATGCCGTTCTGCCGAACGCTGCCGCAGGTGAAGTGCACATCATGTTCGTTCTTGAGGTGGTACAACTTCAGGCAAACCTTCTTGCCCTAAAACGCCATCCGGTCTACTCAAAACCTTCCAACAATTAGGTCTTTACTCACGAGAACAGAACATGGGGCTTACAACTTTTCGATGGATGGCCCCTTCGAAGTACGCCAGGACCAGGATGGGACATTGCTGGAACATTGGCGAGTCACCGTCACCGTGGGAGATGGTTCCTACTCATTCTCTCCTTGCAGCGGAGCTTTGAGTGGCATTTGTAGCTCATTGATGAGAAGAACCAAATGAATACGATGTTGACACAGGCGCAAGAGATGAGCGCGCGGTAGGATCGAAGTGGGAGCGTGCACGGGGGAGGGGAGGGAATGGGAGCATGTAAGGTAGGGGGTCTGGCTGCGGCGCAAGGGATCCATTGGAGAGAAGGAAGAAATGACCTAAGTCTCCGTAACACCGGTCCGTCCATTTCTCAATCCATCGGTATGTGTGAGGACTCAACTTCCTCCCCAGTAATATAGCTGGCCTTGCAGCGCGCAGTCCGATAGCTTGGCCAAAGCTCGGCCTGGCCCGACCCGACGAACAACGTGCCCGTGCCACCTTGACCTGATCCAGCATGTCATGCCTAGGCCGCTCCCAGACACGATACAGCCCGCTAATCAATGGGAGGCCCAGTAGCGACCCGTTAGATGGGGAGGGTATATACCCCCCTCTCCACTCAGCCTCTCTCCACCTCCTAACCCTAAATCACCCCTCCTCTGCTGCATAGCACTCTCTCGACTCTCGCCTCTGCCACCGGTCACCACCTCCACCGGATCTTGCCGTTCTACTTGCAAATGTCTCCCTCTTTCGTCTTCTCACCTCTCATACCCTTGGCTTCATTTTATTGATTTGTTGGTGACATGGCGTTTTCATATATGTAGTTGTATGAAATTTGATCAGTTGGTTGTTGCATACTTGTATATGTAATGTGTAATGTGTTGATTTGTTGGTGACTTGGTGTTTACATGTATAGTGTGTTGATTTGTTGGTGACTTAGTTGTTGTCTTTGTCTTGATGATCTTTGAAATGGAAATGCAGAATGGAGGATGGAGTTGATAGAGTGGGTTTTTGTCTTCAGCGGGCTTTGGGCTAGCCCAACCTGCTGTTTTGGTCGTGCTTCTCGGGCTGGCCCGACGTGCTATGCCTAGGCCGTTGGTCAGGTACGATGCCTGGCTCGACACGGCCCCACATCACGTTGTGCCATGCCTGCCTAGTGTCAGCGGGCCGTGCTTTGGTCGGGCCCGTGTTGTGTCGTGCCGAGCGGGCCGAATGGCCATGTATACCCAAGAAATTGTTTCTGTCTTGTTTTTTGTTTGCTCTCGTTCTTTCCACATCAACAAATTGCTTAGTTGCAGGATAATTAATTAATAGAGACATAAACTACAATAATATAAATATGTACTATTGAGACTGCCCGAATGGAAACTATTTCAAAGTTTCTGGGTTTAGGACTACTCTTATACTAACTCTATAGTCTATACAACGGCTTCTCTACAATTAGTTTAAATAATAAAAGATGAATAAATGCAAAGCAATGGCAAACTGCTTACCCCTATCGGGATGGATATAGTGGGGGGTGGGGGCAGGAAGCCCAAATTATGTTTACATATATCAGCCCTTGGAATTGAACTTCTTCCAGGCCTTGTAGTCCTTGCTCCCCAGCATCTGCTCCACCTCCTCGAACTGCAGCCCCTTGGTCTCCGGCACCAGAAGGAATATGAGCAGGAACGCCATCGCCGACACGCCACCGAAGAGCAGGAACGTGCCCGCCGTGCCCAGCGCCTGCGTGAGGCTGAGGAACGTCTGCGTCACCAGCAGGTTGGACGTCCAGTTGGCCACCGCCGCGATGCCGCCGCAGACGCCCCGGAACCGGAGCGGGTACACCTCCGAGTTGATGAGCCACGGCACGCTGCCCATGCCCGGGGAGTAGGACACGATGTACGCGCCCAGCGCCACCAGCGCCAGCCAGCCAAAGGAGCTCGGGCAGCCCCTCGTGTACCACTCGCGCCGCCCCGCCCGGCACGCGCGCCGCGACGCGTCCGACGTCCTGAGGCAGGCGCCCGGCAGGAGCTTGTCGGTGTCCGCGCAGAAGCCGCATTCGGAGGGAGACTTGATGCACTGGGCGCAGGTCCACTCTACCCCGGCCACGGTGGCGAGGTCGAACTCCGGGCACGTGCCGTTGGCGCCGAAGAGGGCCGTCCCGGCCAGGCTGACGTCCGGCGAGTGGCTGTCCACCGCGAAGAAGACGCCGCTCAGCATGCCGAGGCACGCCACGACGCCCGTGAGGCTGAGCAGCATCAGCCGCCGCCGTCCCGCCTTGTCCACGAAGAACATGCTCACCACGGACCCGGCGGCGTTGAGCCCCGAGGTGACGAGCGACAGCGCCAGCGCCGTGCTGTTGGACGCGAACCCGGCGAGCTGCACGATGGTCGGGCTGTAGTACATGACGGTGTTGATGCCGACGAACTGCTGAGCCACCTGGCAGAGCACGCCCGCGGTGAGCCCGCGCCGGACCACCACGCTGCCGAACGCCTTCCTGAGCGTGCCGGCCAGCCCCGCGCCGCCGAGGGACCGTTCCTGGGCCATGTCCGCCTCCACCGACGCCCGCAGCGCCGCGATTTCCTCCTCGACCTCCTCCGGCGGGTACACCTTCCGCATGATCTCCTCGGCCTCTCTTTTCCGGTCCTTCCTGTACAGCCACCGCGGCGACTCCGGCAGCGCCAGCATGAGCACGAACTGGAGGAGCGCCGGCACGCCGGCCACTCCGAGCATCCATCGCCACGTCCCGTTCACCTTGGTGAAGGCCAGGTTGATGAGGTAGGAGAGGAACTGCCCCGCCGTGATGAGCAGGCCGTTGGTGCTCACCAGCGCGCCCCGGATCCTCGCCGGCGAGGCCTCGGAGATGTACAGCGGCGACGTCATGGAGGCCATCCCGACGCCAAGTCCGACCAGGACCCTGCCCACGATGATGACCGGGGGCGCCGGTGCGAAAGCCATGACGATAGAGCCGGCCAGGAAGAGAATGTCGGCGATGAGGATCGACGGCCGCCGCCCGAACCGGTCATTCATCCAGCCGCCGGCGCCGGCGCCAAAAATTGCCCCCGCCACCGCCATGCTCACAATCGTCTCCTGTTGCCATGAAGATGGAGGAGCATCCCACTCCCACTGTTAGTTTCTTCTTGCTTTGCATTGATTTATTCGTGGCTCGTGAGTCGCGAGCAAATAGCAAGAACAGAAACAAGTACCTACCTGCAGCACGGTGCTTTTCTCGACCTGCTCGAAATCGTCTCGGATGTACAGGAGAGCTCCTGATATGACGCCTGCGTAGAGATTAGATTAGAACCGCAGGATTATAAGCATCAGAGGCAGATGACATTGTGAGAAACTAAAAAAAAAAAATTATATCCTTCTTATTTTATACGGAAATGCTAGGGTCAGAGCGTCTGATCGTCCGGACACCCCATTGCCGTGGGCCGCGACGCTATATGAATGGCCCAACTATCCTGGATGCCTCCGCCGATCGGCTGTTTGATAAAAAAAACGTTTAGATGTCTTCTTCACTCATTGGTCTCCAAAAACGTCATTCACCAATCCCCACTCGCCGTCGAATTTCAATTCCGCGCTCCACCGTGACCGCGCTATCGCGGTGCTCTCGACCGTGGTTGGCCAGCCGCCATCCTCTATCTCAACCTCACCTGAGCCGCCTTCCTCCCTCTCCACCGCAGTTCACCAACCATCGTGCAACTTCTGTTCATCGCGCCCGCCCGACCGCTTCTGTCCCTCTTCGACGGCACCTCGGGAAAGGAGCGGCAACTAATCGGCCTCCGCCTCCCTTCTCTCCACAAAGCTTGGTCCGCATCCTCCATCGGCGACGACATCTAGCGATGTGGACGAGATCGGGCAGGGGTAGTGCCGCTCACCTCTCTTGGCGCTGGTGGTGCCATCGTGCGCCTCAGGTTGGTCCCCCTCCCTCGCCGAGCCAAGGGCACCCACGAAGCGCGGCCCATGCTGGTGGTGCTCGTGCGCTGCTGCTCGGTGCCGGCTCCCACTTTGAGGCCGGAATCAATCGGCCCTGGACTCTCCCTCCCCCTATGTTGCAAATGTATGTTTTAAGTGTTTCACATGTTATCAGATGTATGTTGCAAGTGTTTCATATGGATGTTGCAAAAGTAGATCGGGATGTTGCATATGTTGCACTTGTTTCAGAGGCATGTTGCAAGTGTTTCAGAGGTATGTTGCAAGTGTTTGTTCAAAATGATTCATCTGTTTCAGACATATGTTGCAAGCGTTTTTATCTGGATGTTGCACATGTTTCACACAAATGATGCAATAGTATGCTCGAAATGATTCAGCTGTTTCAGTCTTATGTTGCAATAAGTGTTTTCATTTTGTAAGTTGCAAGTATTTTATCTGGATGTTGCATATGTTTTAGACATATGTTGCAAGTGTATGTTCCAAATATTTTATCTACGTCCGACTTATATTGCATTCAAGTGTTTCATGTTTTAAGTATTTCGTGTTTCAAAGTATGTTCAGAGAGTCATGGGGCATAACCCGAACACTGGGAGAAGGGCGTGGCGAGCTGGGGGGCGGCATATGGGGCGCACGACACGCCCGGGTCCTATGGACGGGGCATGCTCGCCCTCATCTGGGCTTCCAGGTCCCGCCCGCACGGAGAGAGGAGGGGTCGGGGGGAAGGAGTTGCGGGCACAACCGGGGTGCGCGTGTCGGGTGGGGTGAGGCGCACGGGAGCCGGGTACGCGTGCATGGCGGGGCGAGGCAAACGGGGACGGACGTGCGTGTGCAGCAGCGATACGGCGCAGCGGCAGGCGTGTGGCGGGCGAGCTAGGGCAGCAGCATGCACGAGGCGTCCGGACGCGCACATCTGCTCCGGACGTTCGGGCGCTAGTAATTCCCTAATTTATAGGAATAAAGATTTAATCCCCACTCACACGGTGAGTTTTAAGGTCAAATTTTGTATATCATACCTTATGTTAAAAAATGCATAGTGGATTTTTCATCAATATTTTTGATAGCTAATAAGGACATATAATAAGTTAACCCAAGATATATACAAAATGGAAAGATACCATGATTAAAAAAGCACATTTATTTTTTGACATGATTTATGATGTGCGCCGTCACTTCAAAATTTTAGCTTAAAACTCAACTCATATATGGAGAAATAAAGGAGAAATAAAGAAGATAAACAAGGGTTAGATTGGATCAACTGAAAAATTTATGGGGTGTAAATTAAACTAAAAATTAGTTTAGTGGGTTATCTAGGCACAAATCTCGCATAAACTAATTGGACTTCCAATGTTTTGTCGCATCTCAACTTCTATCTTGCCTAGCCTTCCCCCATATGGGAAGGCAAAGCGGACTGATTGCAGTGATACTTGAGTGTCTGCCAAAAATAGGTGAATTAGGGTTATTTGAGCAGCAGAAGATCTAGGCCCTATGATGCTAATTAGATGGATTTTGAGGCTAAATGTCTTTCATTAGAGAACTATAGCATGGGTCTACTAATTAGCTATGAAAGTTTAGCATTGCAAAATCAAAGCAAGTCGAATCATGCGTTATATTTTGAAAAGAATGGACTAAGAAGGATAGTCTGACGGACCAGTATCATAGCCGAAGAGGAGGCCACCGATGCCGGCGGAGAAGGCGAGGCGAAGTATGAAGGGCTGCTTTGACGTCAGGTAGAGCAAGTCCCTGAACTCGGTGCTCTCTGCTTTGTGGATGCCACCTTCCATGCTGTGCGGCGCAGATTAGAAAACCTGAAAATTGTGGCAAGAGACATGAAGAACGGAGAGTAGTTTCTAAATACAATCTTGTTTTCTTTCAAATATATATTTTCTAGATGTTCCGATATATCGACAAAGCCAGACAAAATGCAGAAAATGTTGTTTCCCTCGGTTTCCTTGTACACACACAAAGAATGTTAGCTACAGATTTAAACTAATTTGTCATCATCATGTTGCAGCGTCAAATTAAAGACCTAATTCTCTCGCTTACCTGTGATGTGAAGCAGGAAGGCTTTTCTGCTGGAATTCACCTTGATCGCCAGCTTCTGCAATATTCTCCTGACGGCGACGTTGCCGCCGTGGGTGCCCCCAGATTCGAATTCGCAGCTCCGTTGGGTCGTCGAGAATGGACCGGGAATGGAATTCAACGCGAGAGCGAGAGGCATCAGGAACCAGCGTTATCACCGGTCTCCTGCACAAGTAGTAGCTCAGCTTTTACGAGCGCTATCGGTCTACCAGGCGCGTGTCGTGCTTGCCAAATTTAGGACGACATGGATCCTATTTCCGGGCCGGGCATTGTGCATATACGTGGAGAGCTACTCATGTCTGCGAAGTCTGGACGTGCACACGGGCTAAGGCAGAGGAGCCATGGGTGGGGGTGAATGGAAATCATAGCATACGACAGAGACGAAGCAATGCCATGGAAATCATAGCATACGACAGAGACGAAGCAATGCCATATACTCATATATCGAGGCTAAGAGTATGTTTGGGATAGCTCCACGAGCTCCAGATTTAACAAAAAAAACATTCACTCTACGAAAAGTTACCCAAGCATTCTAGCTCCACCTGATCTAGATTCACCAAAACGATAAATCTGAGGCTAGATTCACCATTTTGGTGAGCTCCTTAGGGCCCGTTTGTTTCCACTTCTCCTGGCCACGCTTGGATTATAATCTAAGCGAAGATTTTCTCGCTTCTCGCTTTTCGCTTCCCGTAGTTCAAATCTCTGAAGCGGCTTACCACATAAGCGAGAATCGGTGGAAATAAGCGAAGCGTTTGGTGGGATTCTCGCTTATTTCCACCGACAAGCCGCTTATAAGCGAAAACAAACGGGGCCTTAATGGGTGCTCCACCAAACTTAAGTTGGTGGAGTTGGAAAAAATTAACCATCACAACCACTAGTTACATCCATCCCACCTACCGGTTCATTTCTTTTCTTTACCTTATTCCCCTCCACGCCTTCTCGGCATGCGTCGTCGCCACCATGGTTGCGCCCGCCCCTGGCAAGGCCACGCATGCCCCCGGCCAGCTAGCCAAGGATGACGACGCATCAAGACTGGGCCAAACAATCTCTGGCACCCTTGACGGTTTCACGCCACACAGGCCAAAGCTGCGACCGTTGGCTAGAGGAAGAAGAAGACCGAAAGAAGCTTTCTTGAGACATTAACACGTGGGGCCTATCCCAAGGGCAAATCTGGCCATTCCAACTAGAAACGCCCTTGTGTGGATCTATGGCTAGTTGTGTAGCCGAACGGTACGGTTCCACGGTGGATCTCAGATCCACTAGTGGAGTTGCTCCATGATTTACTTTTTTTGGTGGTCCCAAACAGGCCCTAAGAACTCTTGACGGGGAGGAGGCGGCGATAGAAGGAAAAGCTAGGATCCCGTCTAAGGTTCATGTCTAATAGAATGAAGGGGAGGAAGTAATGGTAGATGATTAACTCAGGCATCCCTTCACTTTACGTCCTGTAGGGACTTGCTAAAATTTAGCTACTTTTCAGGCAAATGTTATTACATATATTTTCTGTTATAAATTGCAGGTTTAGTTCATTGTAATTTTTGTAGGTATAATCTACAATTTTTGGATCTAAGAACAAAAGCTCGCTAGACGACAAAACCACAAATCCGACAAAATTTTACATGTGTTGGCATTCTAACAATTTACAATTATTTTTATAGTCACACAAGGACAAAAAAAACTAATATGTCATGACACAGAGACAATCAACAAATCACCCACAAGAATAGGAGATCATGGACAAATCACAAACAAAGCAGGTTGTGTCCAATATTCTTATCTCAGCCATGTCGTGAGCTTGCAAGTAGGAAATTTTGAGTGTGTATGTGACGAGATCCTAACAAATGGGTATGTTAAGCCTCGGGTCCAATAGTTTTCGAACGAAGAAGACCCCCCGACCGACCCCTCCTGGACCGCCCGGGGGCTCGGGGGCTATACCCATCGGGTACGCTCGCGCACACCCTCTGGAGAAGAAACCCTGCCGAGCTTGACTATGCCGCGACCTCCGCACGGGGCTCGGGGGCTCGCCCGAGCCCAGAGGCTCCCGATCTATTCCAACACTCCGGTCCGGCCCTTGGCTCTTGCCAGTCCAACGACGCCAGCCAAGGCTCAGGCGCAAGAAGACGCGCCCCGAGCTACCGAGGCTCGGGGGCTCCCCGGCGCTACCCCTTGGGCACGGCATTGCCGGCCACTTTTCCGACAAGGTCACGCACAGGGCGTGACACAAGAAGACAAAGCTTCCCCGTGGCCTCAAGGGGCTCCAAGGCTCCCGGGCCCGCACGTCAGCCCCTGGAGCCGACCTCCTTCACCGCCAAGAAGACTCTAGAAGGTCCACCTGGGGGAGGCCGGTCCAAGCCGACACAGCCTGACACGTAGAATGTCAGAATAGAGCAGCCGGACGACGCCCAAGGCTTCTTTGGCTCCACGACACCGCCAAAGTCCACATCACATCGCTGCAAGGCCCTCCTGGACTCCGACGCTTGTAGACCATAGACTCATTCCCCCAAATCACCATGTACCCGACCTATCTGGTTATATAAGGGATAAGGTCGGACCTAGGGGGAGGACAATCATTAGAAGATGGATCATTCCATTCCACTCCATCCTTTGGCCTCTGCTCAACATCAAGAGCAAGGCAACCCAGAGAGGGGCAACGAGAGCTCCTCCACCGCATCCCGTCGTCTTCCTCCTCTCCAATGAGGGGAAGGCTCCACCGGCGGCGAGGCAATCTTAGGATTAGCACCGAGCTAACCCCCTACCAAATCTCTCTCTACAACCCTATTGTAACCCCCTGATTTTGGGTGCTTTTGAGTATGAGGATCATCAGCTGCTGGACGTAGGGCACCAATTGGCCCGAACCGGGATAAACCGTTGCGTCCTTTTTGTGATTCTTGTGTTCTTGAGTCCACCCGAGCCACCGGAGACACGTACTCTAACACCGATTTGAACAACAATGCTTGCCACGGTTCCGACCCCGTGACAGTTGGCACACTAGGTAGGGGCAACGTCAAGTGTGATTTAGGCTCTACGGTGACTGGAGCCACCCGCCTCGTCGCCGAAACAAGCGGCACCGCCCCAGACGGCGGTGTCCACTTTGGGAGCCTAGCCTACGTCGCCGACTGCTACGGCGAGCTTCATCCACTCCACAGGGAAGCACCGGTGGGCAACGAGCCCCCGGCGTCGCCCCCTCCGCCAGGACTTCTGGGAGCAGATCTCAAGGTTTTGGCCAGATAGATCCAGCGCGGTTTGGGCCTGAACCCCACCATGTCGGACCACCGCCAGTTGTTCTACATGCTGGCCGACATCCACCACCAGATCGCCATCGGTGAGGTTTTCCCACCGCCTGACCGCTTCTGGTACTACCTCCTAGACCTGCCTTTTGGGATCCAGAACGTGGTGGCTTCTTTCCATATGGAGCTAGAGCACCTCATCAGTCGCGAGGCGGCATGGAGCACCATCCTCTCCGACGTAGCAGGGACCGACGTCCATTCGCTGCACGCCTTCCTCGAGATCCTTTCGAGGAATGGCCTAGAGTACGACTCCGACGACATCGACTGCTTTGCACCGCCCTGCATGTGCTACCACATTGACAATGAGGTTCCACTAGACCAGAGTCCACGTAGCCGTGCGGCCTACCTCTAGGAGAAGGGGGATCGCCTACGGGCTCGGCAGGTGGACTTGGAGGCCGCTAAGATAGAGCTCGAGTGCGAAAGGTAGGACCTTGCATGGCAACGAGCCGTGCACCCTCTCGGCGATGACGACGATGCTCGCACGGCGGCTTCGAGCGGCCTCTACTTTCCCCGCGTGGCGTACAACATGGCGGGTGCCGCCTGTTGCCTGGAAGACATCTCTGACACGCCAGACCCAAAGACCAACGAGTGGCTAAACGAGGTGAAGTGGCTCCTCCGTGTCGCCCTTAAGAAGCAGGCCGAGAGCTCGGCATCCCGGCGCCGCACCGTGCTCTCCCGATCGTCCCAGATGATGGCCACTCCCAACGGGGACCACTCCGACGCACATGCCCCACATGCAGGGGGGAGCCGTGGCAACACCTCTGGCAACAGCTTCAACCGACCACAGACATAGGGCACCAAGCCTCGGTAGGAGTGACAGCGTGAACTTTCTCCTCGGCGTCTCCCCGCGCACCACCGGATCGGCGACAGTCGTGATGTCCATGACACCATTGAAGCCAGGCGCCACGCTCAGGCGTAGTCACATACCCCTGAGCGACAAGGTGGGGGCACCGCCCCGGATCACTTTGACCCCCCAGCGTTCGGGGCAGCGATTCAGGCGGCTCCCTACCTAGGCATTTCTGGCCACCGATGCACATATCCAAGTACGACGGCGAGACCAACCCGGATCACTGGCTAGAGGACTACCGCCTCGCCATGAAGGCTAGGGGTCAGACGATGACTTTGTCGTCCAGTACCTTCCCCTGCTTCTGTCAAGCTCGACCAGAGCTTGGCTCGAGCAGCTTGAGCCTGGCAGCATACGCTGCTGGGGCAATCTCCGTTCGGTCTTCATCGGCCACTTCCAGGGTACGTACTGTAACACCCTTGATGTTATGCCCTAAACAAATTACTAAAACATGTCATGAGCATCATATTTATACGATAACGCATGTGGTAGAATGCGTGGATGAATTTTTTTGTAACTTAAGATGATCAATAAAAATGTTAAATGAAAAGCTACTCCATAATTCATGTATATC